ATCGGGCAGTGTTTCGTTATGTGGTACATAGGGTCGCTGCGGGTCAGAAATGACTTGATGGTACCTAACAACAACCTGAGTTAGAGTCGACTCTATGGCAGTTGGTTTGGGTTTTACTTTAATCTTTATGGGGCAGCTCCCCAGGCTTTTATTGTGGAGCCACTGGGTGGGTTTGAACTGCAGACTTTTAGCTTGTTAGACCTTGAGTGCTGAAGTGTCGAGCCACCAGGACTCCTTAATGTCTCTTTATGGCTGAGCAGAACTCCATTGTTCAGATGAACCACATTTTGTTTAGCTAGTCCATCCTACGTTGAGGGTGCCCCTGGCCTCACCGTCATTCCTTTGTTCTCAGGATCCCCAGAACCCACCTCAGTGCCCAAGTCCCTCCTGACTGGTCTGTGTGACTTAACCCCGTCTCCCACTCTCCACTCAGTCACACCCCTCCAGGGAGGCCCGCTGGTCTCTCTCTGCAAACTGTTTGCTCACCCTCTCTCCACACTGCCTGCCAGCACCTTGCACAGGCCTGGGAAAGCAATCCAGCCTCTCCCATCCCTAGACAGTCTGCAGACATCATCACTCGGACAAGGCTGACTCCTTCCTTTCTTAGACTTCCTGGAAGGGATCTGCTTCAGCTCCTGAACCTTACCTGTATGCACCTGTATTTCTATTTAAATTCTGTGGGGCTTTTTTTTTTTTAATTGTGGTAAATACATATAGAGAGAGGAGCTGTGTGGCAACAATGATTGAGCGCTCGCCTGCTAACCGAGAGATAAGAACCATGGAGCGATCGGCTTCCCTCATGATGAGAGCCTTAGAGACCCTATGTTCCTCCTCTGCTCTGTTCCGAAGGGCCATTCGGAGTTCGAATTGACTGAAGAGCAATGGATGTTGATATATGTGTTTGTTGTATACTGCACACACACACACAAGTATATACCAAAAGGTTTTCCTGAAAAATCATTTTATTATTGAAAATATGTACAGCAAAACCTACCAATTCAATTTCTGTATCTATAAGACAGTGACCTTGATTACGTTCTTCAAGCTGCACAACCATTTTAGCCTTTCCCCAATGTTTGTTTCCTCTGCCCGTTAACATACACCCACCACCTACCAAGCTTCCTGCCTAACCTTTGGAGTTGTGTTTGTCAACTTGATCCCATATAAAATCCACAGAGCTTCCCTAAGCCCGTTGACATTAAGTCTCTTCTGATTTCTAGCGGCCCTGTAGCAGAGAGTAGAACTGCCCCATAGGGTTGTAATCTTTACAACATTGTGAAGTATGAGGATTCCAGAACACCTAATTGTGCTCGTGAAGAACCTATACATAGACCAAGAGGCAGTTGTTTGCACAGAACATGGGAACACTGAATGCTTTAAAATTAGGAAAGGTGTGCAACAGGGTTGTATTCTTTCACCATATTTATTCACCCTGTATGCTGAGCAAATATTCCGAGAAACTGGGTTGTATGAAGAAAAACGTGGCATCAGGATTGGAGGAAGACTTATTAGCAACCTGCAATATACAGATGATACAACCTTGCTTGTTGAAAGTAAAGAGGACTTAAAACACTGATGAAGATCAAGGAGTACAGCCTTCGGTATGGATTTCATCTCAATGTAAAACAAAAATCCTCACCAGTGGACATATACAACAATATACAACATTCTTATCAACGGAGAAAAGATTGAAGTTGTCAAAGACTTCATTTTTCTGGGATCAACCATCAACACTCCTGGAAGCAGCAGCCAGAAAATCAAAGGATGTATTGCATTAGGCAAATCTGCTACACAAGACCTTTTTAAAGTGTTGAAGTGCAAAGATGTCAGCTTGAGGACTAAGGTGCGCCTGATCCAAGCCGTGGTATTTTCAATAACCTCATATGCATGCCAAAGCTGGACAGTGAATAAGGAAGACCGTAGAAGAATTGATGCTTTTGAGTTATGGTGTTTGAGAATATTGAAAGTACCATGGGCTGCCAAAAGAATCAACAGTTCTGTGTTGGAAGAAGCACAGCCAGAGAGTGCTCCTTGGAGGCCAAGATGGCCAAACTTCATCTCTCATGCTTCGAACATATTGTCAGGAGGGACTAGTCACTGGAGAAGGAGATCATGTTTGGTAAGGTGGAGGGTCAGAGTAAAAGAAGACCCCCAATGAGATGGATTGGCAAAGTGGCAGCATCCATGGGCTCAAGCATGGCAACAATAGTGAGGTTGGCCCAGGATTGGGCTGTGTTTCTTTCTGTTGTGCATAGGGTCACTATGAGTTCGTACCAACTCAACTCGATGACACCTAACAACAGCAATCTTTACAGAAGCAGGCCGCCTCATATTTGTCCTCTGGGGCAGCTGGTAGGTTCGAATCACCAAATTCTCGATTTGTAGCAGAGTGTTTCACCATGAAGCTACCAAGGCTCATATGATACAGATAATTCTTTTTTTTTTTAACTTTTTGTAGTGAATTAAGTGAAGGTCTACATACAAGATCATCAGCTTTACATTCAACAAATCACACACTTTGTTCATCTCAGTGATTACATTCCGCTCCATGTACCAACAGTGATCCTGTTTCCTTCCTGTGGTTCCTATTTGCATTCCACCCACCTTCCTACTCCTTCTTAACTTTGTCCTTAGGAAAATATTCCCCATTCCATGGTGAGCACATCTTTTTTTTTTCAGTTGTGAACTGAGTGATAATTTACATGGAAGAGCATCAGCTCTATATCCTTGTTTCATTGCAATGATTACAATCTCCTCCGTGCAGCATCATTCAACAGTATTTGCTTCCATTGCCTATTTTTCTTTGTTCGGGGAGTGGGGTGGGGAGATGTGTGCAAAAACACTCCGCGTTTAAACAACCAAAAGGCACATTCTGCAAGCCTGCCTCCTTGCCACCAGCACTCAGTCTTTCTCTTTTGTTTTTGTTTTAAACACTCGGGTATATATAATAATTTAAACCACCAAAGGGTATGTTCTGCAAGCCTGCCTCCTGGCCACCAACTCTCAGTCCTTCTCTTTCCATGAGTCTAGAGTCCTCAGCTGCTCTATCTCTCCATGTCCTTATCTTCGCCTCCATCTTTGGGTGGCTGCTTCTCTGGATAGGGTCCTGCATTCTGCTTGTGCTCTTGAGCAATCTCTTTAATGTTGTTATCCCCCCTGTATACATATCTACTGCTTGGCTGAAAATTGGGCCACAAGGGTGAGTCGGTACAGATAATTCTTGAAAAAAGTCAGTGGTTTTCAAATAAAATTTACTAGTGGTTATGAGTTGGGCTGCTATCCTCAGGGTCAGCAGTTGAAAACTACTAGAAATTTTGCAGGAGGAAGATGAGGCTTTCTGCTCCTGTAAAGATTTACAGGCTTAGAAACCCTATACAGGGTCACTATGAGTTGGAACCGACTTCACAGTACACCACCACCACCAATATGCATGTAATGAATGCAAAAGTGGTTGAAATGGCTTTTTTTTTTTTTTTTGCATCCATTACATTCATCTTGCTCAACCATCACCCTTAACCTGCTCCCAACTTTTCCCGTTGCCCTTAGCAAAAGCTCAGTGTCCTCTAAGTACTGAGTCCTCCTTTCCCCTCCTTCCACCCACTCTTTGACAACCCTGAATGAACTTTGGTCTCTGCTGTACCTTTGCCTAGTCTAGATATTTCCTAAAAGTGGGAGGCCTAGAACATTCCTGCCGTGTCTGACTCACTGCCCCCTTCAAGACCCTTCCAGTTCCCAGTGTGGACCTGGGCTTCATTTCTCTGAATGGCTGAGTAGCAGTCCACCGTGTGGAGACTAGAGTCCCAAAGTCAAAATCCACAGGGTCCTTCAACCCCTCCATTCCTCTCTTCCCAGACAAGGAGTGGCCCATTTTAAAATTTTGTTTGTTTGTTTCATTTTGGGTGTGTGGTTATCTTTCCAGAGAATAGGGTGTTTGCATATCAAAACCTATGAGTATATCTATTTCCTTCCCTCCTTATTTACATAAATGGCAACATGTCACAGGCGGTTCTGGGGGGGGGGGGAAGCACACACAGAAAATCCCACTGTGACGAAAGAATGCATACAATAAAAAATGCACACCGGGACAATTGGTGCCCTGGCTCTCATTAGCATTTATATATTTTTGTTCTGTGTGGACTGTTTTCATGTGAACTTTGCTTCCTCTGCCCTTGTTCTTTTCAGTTAACAATTTCCTAGAGATTTTTTTTTTCTTCTTCTTCTTCTTCTTCCAAATCTTGTCCCAAACACAAGCAAACATAGATGTAGTCACAATTTCTGGATGATTCAGTGACGTTGGCTACAGATCTCATATCGTATCCCCACCATTCTGTCTCTACCCATATGACGGGGGCTTCACACAGTTCCTGAAAAAATTTCTATGATCTTTTCATTCCATTTTCCATGAGCCTTGTGGAATCCCCAAATATTGTTTTATCACCATGAGATTGCCTCTGAAAACGCTCAATTGCTCACCAAAAAGATGGTGGTTTAAAACCACCAGCTGCTCCATGGGAGAGAGGTGAGGCAGCCTGCATGTGACTTAGTTTAGCTGTTGTCAGATTAAATCCCTACAGATCATTCTTTATAAGAGCACAATACCCAAGCAAGCATTCATTATTAATTGAATTAACCTGTTATTTATATAGCTGAATGTTGGCATCATGGGATAGTTTGGGTTCACGGCTTAAAGACTGATTCCCAGGCAATTGATTCAAAAGTTCTCCCAGCCTCAAAGGATCCAGTAACTCTGGTCTCCATAGGAATTTAAAGTTCTGTTGCGCAAGTTTCTTCCTTTTGATCAGTGTTCATCTATTGGTCATCGATCAAAATGTTCAGTAATGGTAGCCAGGCACCATTCAGTTCTATTCTCATGACAAAAGAGGTTTATGGAGGTAATTTAACCCGCAGTCCGTTTTCTTCACTGATTCCTGGGTCTCCAATTTTGTCTGGTGCTCAAGACAAATACAAACCAATTGCCTTATCTTGCTCACCAGCTTTTAAGACCCAGGTGCTACTCAGCAAACTGGGAGGAAGAACAGAGCTTGAATAAACACTGCTAAGTCTGTTGACTTAAGAGACCCATGAAGCTATGATGCTAAACCTTTGAACCCGCAACACTAATTCCAAGAGGCACTCAGTTGTACCTGAGACCGTGACGGTCTTTCTGCATCAAACATATGGAGCCATCCTGGTCCTTTTTATAGGTGCATATCATAGTATCAAAGGAACTCTGGTAGTGTAGTGGTTACAAATCGGACTGCTAACCTCAAAGTCAGCAGTTTGAAACTACCAGCTGCTCTGCGGGAGAAAGATGAGGCTTTCTGCTCCCGTAAAGATTTTCAGCCTCAGAAACCCTGTGCAGGGTCACTATAAGTCGGAATGGACTCCACGGTACTTAACAACAATGACATCATAGTTATCAGGGAGTCCTGGTGTGGTGCTGTGGGCTAATGCGTCAGACTGCAAAGTCGTTTGAACTGCAAGGTCGGTGGTTCAAGTTCACCAGCTGCTGCTCAGTTTAAACCCTATTCAGGGTTGCTATGGATTGGAATCAACGCAACGGCACTTAACAACAACAACAACAACATCATAGTATCAAACCCAAACCAGGTGCTGTCAAGTTGACTCTGACACATGACTCTGACACAGGACAGAGCAGATAGAGCTGCACCCACGTAGTCAACTGTGCCACCTGAGTTGCTTTGTAGAACGAGCGCTCAGAAACCATTCGCTGTCCTCTAGGTCACTCTGTCATTCTCATGGCCTCTTCTACCTGTGTGACAATTAGCCATGTGCAACTTATTAGGAGCTGGAAGCTTCTTTTGTCCCCACCCGGAGAGATTACAACCAGCAGAAGTCTCCACATCTATTTCTGTCCCAATAGTTAATTGCTCTATTGTCTTGAACTAATAGGGTTGCATACAGCTTTAATGAGTTAAGAGTCGGATTCTTTGGAGATTTGTTTTTCTTTTTTAAGTCATTCTTTATTGTTCTCTACAATTAAAGCAGTTCGGCCTTTTTTTTTTTAAATACCAGCATTATTGAGATATAATTCATATGCCGCGTAATTCACCCATTTAGAGACTATAATACAGTGGTTTTTAGTACATTCACAGAATTGGCCAACCCTCACCCTGTCCACCTTTGAACGTTTGCATCACACCGAAAAGGAAACCTGTCCTTATTAGCAGTTGCTCACCGTCCCCCTGGTAACCACAGATCAATCTACTTCCTGTCTCTCTGGCTGTGCCTATTCCGGCTATTTAATAAACATGGAATCATAAACTGTGTGGCTTTCACTAAGCATAGTGCACGGTACACTTAACATAAAAACAAAAAACAGCAACAGTGGTCTGAAGGTTCACTCACCCATTTTGCATAGGTCATGACGTCACTCTTTTGATGTCTCTTTGAGAATCAAGACGTGGCAGAATATATTGAGCAACATTTTTTTGTAGGAATGGCCCTTCACATTTTACGTATCCAGTTATCGAAAGATGGACTTGTGAGCTGTATCCACTTTGGGGCTTTTGTGAATAACATGGCAATGGACATTTGCATACAAGTTTGTGTATAAATGTCAGCTTTCAGTTCTCTTGGGTAGAGACCTAGGAATGGAATTTCTGAGTCTTAAAGAGCTCAGGCTGCTTAACCTTAAAGTCAGAAGTTCGAAACTACCAGCCGTTCCGCAGGAGAAAAATGAGGCTTTCTGCTCCCGTAAAGAGTTCCATCCTTGGAAACCCTATACGCGGTCACTATGAGTCGGAATCAACTCCACGGCACACCACCAAAAAGTGCTGGTGACGCAGTGGTTAAGCACTCAGCTGCTGATGGAAAGGTTGTGGAATCAAAGACGAAGTGCTCTACTCCTGGAAAGATGGCCGGCTAGGACGGTTCTACTTGGTCACCTGGTGTGGGAGAGACAACGAGTGAGTGAGGCAAGGACTTGGGGAACCCAGACAGAGCTATGGCCAAGTTTAAACCAAATACAAGGCTCTATTTAAGATTGAATTTCACATAGTAATGGATGACTTTTTAGGATCGTATGTCCCAAATGGAGTCCTGGTGTGGCGCTATGGGTTAATGCCCTGGGCTCGGGGATACTTAATGACGACAACATGTCCCAAATACTGCACGGGATATACCTGTCTTAAAAAAAGAAGCTGTTATTTATCTGAGCTTCGGATTTAACTAAGCATTCAGTGTTTTTCTTGGCTGAATCTCCATCCTGACTCCCCTGAATGGGCCATGTGACCTTGGGGCTCTGGGTTCTGGGTGGGGGCCCAGTACCTCAGTACCTGAGGAGACTGTAAGTGGAAGGCGTGGATGTCACAGCCCAGGAGCCTCCAGTGGGGCTCGGGTGGCAGGAGTGTGAGCATGGAACCAATTCCTTGTCTTCTCAAAGCCTGGGCTGGCTGTGGCCCCTCCTCAACTCAGCCCCAGGACAGTGAATAGGGAGGTGGGTGGTGAAGGTTTGCTGATAGCTGGGTACTGAGGCCCCCTCTCCATTCACTTTCTGGTGAGTGGGTGTGTGGTATGTGAGTGTATTGTGGTGTGGTGATGTGTGTGTGTGTGTGGTGTGTGTGTGTGTCGGGGGGGTGTTTCCTCGATTCAGCTTTAATCCGTTCTGTACAGAATGTGACCCTGGAACATTGCTCCTTAGTTTTTCCCAATTGTTTGCTTTGCTGTTTACGATCTGATTTGTGCTGCGTTTTTTTTTTTTTTTTTTTTTTTCAAATCATTCTCAGGGGATTTTTAAGAGGATTTGCTACTGTTCTTTAGAACGCTCTGTTTGCCTCAAAGATACTGGGGGAAGATTTAGTGCCCTGGAATAAAATAAGTAGGCATTGGGACTGAGTTTAATATTCCAGATCCTGGCCTGGGGGGTAGGGGTGTGTGTGTTGGGAAAAGGCAGCTCTCTAAAGAACGCTTCTTACAAGCATAAAGGGCACGAAACCCACTAAAGACCAAAGCCATTGCAGTGAGGCTGATCCCAACTTATCGGAACCCCATGTGGTACAAGGCAGAGCTGCTCCATAGGATTCTCCTGGCCGTCATCTTTAGAGAACCAGTTTGCCAGGCCTTTCTTCTGCAGCACCCTGGGTGGGTTCAAACTGCCAACATTTAGGCTAATAACCAAGTGCAAACGGTCTGGGCCCACCCATGGGGCCTTCTAAGGGGCTGCCCCATTCAATGTGTTTACTTAAATTTAAATCTAGTTACAAGGAAACGAAGTAAACGTTTACTTCCTCAGTTGTACTAGCTACACTTCAGTGTCTCAAGAGCGATTAATAGCTGAACACCCGTCAGTTGCTGTTGAGCAGAACTGGGCTGTGTAGGGTTTTCAGAGGATGGATTTGTGGAGCCTCTGGGTGCCTTGCAGACTTTTGTTTAGCAACGTAACCATTGATACAGTGCAGGGGACCATCCTGTCTCTGAAAACCACTAATAAACTTCGGTCTGTTCTGTATATTTCACATAAGTGAGAGCATGCAATATTTGTCTCTCTATGACAGAATTTTTATATGAACTCACAGGTTCAGGATGCGTTACTTCGTACAGCATCTTGAAAAAAGAGTCATTTACGGCAAGTGTCCACTCCTATTTCAGACCGTTACACTGGCCCCTCCTGCCGGCCTGTGCACTGCCCCTGGAAAACCAGCTAGCTGCCCATAAGCCTTAGAGTGGGGAAGTGTAGGCAGATGCTGCATGTCCCATGGGTCATGAGAGGGTTACCCACACACTCCCTTAGGATTCTCTCCAGAGAACCAGTGAGATGCTATGTATGTGTCAGGAGGGAGGGAGAGAAAAATTCACTTCTAGAGATTGGACATGTAATCATGAAGGCTGGACAGTCCAGTATCTGTAGGTCAGGCTATAGGTGTGTGTGTGGGGGGGGGTGGGCTTCTACAGACTGTGTCCTAAGATCCAGAGGTCAGTTTATAGTCTGAAGGGCAGTCCCCACAACTCAAAGCTTAAAAAATGGTAAGAACAGGGGAGCCTTGTGTTTCTACTTTGTATCAGCCCAGGCCAGTTTTGTAACCGACCCTGCTCTCTGGCTTTCCAGGAAGAGTCTCAGTTTCAGATGGCAAAGCAAAGCTCCCTTCCTATTGATGGATTGAAAGAAATCCCCTTTCTATCGGTTGGTCACTATGGATTACATTATGAAGGTGATTATGTTATATTGCACTGTAGTAATGTGATGTCATGACATTGCATTGCATTACGGAACAGCAACGATTCTAGCGTTTGGTCAAACCACTGGGAACCATAGCCCAGCCAAGTCCACCCAGAAGATTAAGCATCACACCCAGACTCACACACTCTGTGCGGTACATGTTACTAGAGTGTCTGCACTATGTAACTTCATTCTTTCTCATAAGCAGTGCTATGTGGGAGGAAATGGAGCCGTGGCATCATGCTAGAGGTGGGCAGCCTTGTTTAAGAGGAGTGCCCGTGGGACACACAAGACAGAGAGGCGGAACCTTTGAGGGCTGTGAATGGGAAGTATGGAGTCAGCGGGAGCCATGGAGGGTGTCAGAGCCTGGGAGGGACCACTTTCAGGAGCATGGGCATGCAGGCTGTTTGCCCAGGGGAGATCAGGCTGGTTGGGAAGTCCTCGGCACACCCAGGTAAAAGGTAATTAGGCCTTGACTCCAGGCCAGGAGGGCAGGTTTCGCAGGAGAGCTGGCAAGGTGGGAAAACTGAGTAAACAAATATGTTAAGCTCTCCCTGCCGGTTTCTGGTTCAGACACCTTTACCCCCATAAATCATTTCCTGGCTCCCTTCCCCACTGACGTGCTGGGGACAGCCTTCTGCATCTGCAGCGTTACCCAATCCCCCACGTAACCCCGTTATCTCCTCGGCATCATATCTGATGCGATTATGTCCAGGTTCCAGGTTTCTAATCGGTTCCGCCAAGGCAACGTTTCCCTACCGCCTGAAACTTAGTATTTCAGCGTGGAGACTCTTCACGCAAAGCCAGGGAGCAGGGCCGCTTACAAAATTGGCTGGGCCTGGTACAAAAACGAAAATGCAGGGCTCTCCTGCTCTTAAGAATTTGAAGACCATGACAAAAAAGAGAGGACAAAAGAAGAAAACCAGCTGCCATCGAGTCGACTCCGACTCTTGGTGACCCCATGTGTGTCAGAGTAAACTACGCTGCCTCTGGGCTGGTGGATCACTAGGCCTTCTTTTCAAGCAGCTGCTCAGACCTGCCTTATGAGGAAGGCGTCCTGGTGGTACAGTGGTTGAGGGCTCAGCTGCTAGCTGAAAGATTGGCTGTTTGAACCCACCTGGCGATCTAGTTCTTGCCAAAACGACAGCCTTGGAAACTCTGTGGGGTAGTTCTTATCATGCCCCGTGGGATCATGATAAGCTGGCATCCACAGTGGGTTACGTTTTCTTTCAAGGGGCTTCTGGGTGGACCCTGCTTGCCAACCTTATTAACTTTTTGCATCGGGGGGGCTCCAACTGTCCAAGCTCTTCCAACTCCTGGTACCTCCATACGTGCAGAGTACGACTGTGTTCCATAGGGTTTTCAATGGCTGGCTTTTTTTTTTTTTTTTTGAGATAGCCAGGTCTTTCTTCTGAGGTACCTCTGGATGAACTGAAGTCTTCTACTTTTCAGTGAGCAGCTGAGTGCTGTAACTATTTGCACCACGAGGGTAGTGATGGCAGAATTAGACTTTTTTAAATGCGCCTATTAGTTTCACATTCAGTAGTTTAGACACACTTTGTTTAGCTGTAATCCCCACTTCAGTGTAATAACATTGTAACCGCATTTCCACCGTCTTCCTTTCCTCTGCCCCTTCCTGCCTTCTGCACTTTGATTTTGGGCAGATGCTGCCCTGTGAGTTTCGTATGCTTGCTGGTTCTGAGGAGGACATTCCTGACAGGGGCGGTAGTTCACTTTATAAGACCCGTCTGCTGTTTGGCTGAAGGCGGTCCCTGGGGGTGGGTTCAGTTCCAGATTTGAGAGATGTCTAAGGACCAGACTCAGGGGTCCCAACAGTCTCCCTTAGACCAGTAAGTCTGCCATTTTTTTACAACAATTTTGAGTTTCATTCTATATTTTTCCTACCATTCTGTCCAGAATCTTATCTTGTGATCCCAATCAGAGTGGTCAGGTTGGGCACCATCTAGTTCTTTTGGTTTCAGGCTCATGAAGGCTGTAGGTTCACACGGCCCATTGGTCCTTTAGACGAATTATTTCCTTACGTCTTTGAATTTCTTCCCCCTTCGTTGCTCTGGACGGGGTAAGAGCAATAGTTGTGCGTTACTTGGTACACCTCACAAGCTTTTACGGCCCCAGCCGCTACTCACCAAATTGGGAGGCAGAACATTGTCTTCGTAGACCGAGCTTCAAACCGAGCATGGGGCCCTGGTGGCTGCGTGGACCACGTGGTCATGAAGTGGCCACTGGTAATCCTTGTGTGGTGTGTTGGTCACCGGTCTTGTTCTTCCTTGCAGTGTGTCCTGGCATGGATATTCGTAACAACCTCACCCGGCTGCATGAGCTTCAGAACTGTTCTATCATCGAAGGCCATCTGCAGATATTGCTGATGTTTAAGACGAGGCCCGAAGACTTCCGCGACCTCAGTTTCCCTAAACTCATCATGATCACAGACTACTTGTTGCTCTTCCGGGTCTACGGGCTGGAAAGCCTCAAGGACCTGTTCCCCAACCTCACGGTCATCCGCGGCTCGCGCCTCTTCTTCAACTATGCGCTGGTCATCTTCGAGATGGTGCACCTCAAGGAGCTGGGCCTATACAGCCTGATGAACATCACCCGGGGCTCCGTCCGCATCGAGAGGAACAACGAGCTGTGTTACCTGGCCACCATCGACTGGTCACGCATCCTAGATTCTGTGGAAGATAATTACATCCGTCTGAACAAAAACGACAATGAGGAGTGTGGAGACATCTGCCCAGGCACTGTGAAGGGCAAGACCAACTGCCCGGCCACCGTCATCAACGGGCAGTTTGTCGAGCGGTGCTGGACACACAGCCACTGCCAGAAAGGTAATGCCCAAGATTCAGGGTTGGTAGAAGTGTCCTAGGCCTTTTTCTTAAAGGCTCCACAGGCCCTTAGTGTAGAGGCAAGAATCTGTGGCATTTGAATGTATCAAGGTCCAGTCGTTCACTGGACTAGAGCTTGGCAAATATTTTCTATAAAGACTTGGAGAGCAAATAGTTTTTTACAATTTTGGGGCCGTCTGATCACTGGCTCAATGACTCAACTTTGCCATTGTAGGTGAGCAGCAGCCATAGACGGCATATAAACACACGGGCCTGGCTGTGTTTCAATAAAACTTTATTTAAAAAAAACTATTGATGGGCCAGATTGTGCTCGTGGGGCTTAATAGTTTACCAGCTTATGGCTAGACAGTTCCTCTGACTTGGAAGATGAGTAGGAATTCAAGATAATGGATTTAAAAAAAAAAAGAGCAAATGTATTTCTAACTGATTATAGAAGTAAAATGCTCACAGTAGACATTTGGGAAAAGGTGGCGATGTCCAAATAAACAAAGAAAACATAGTTGTTAATTTTTCCACAGTTGACATTACTGGTAATGGTTTCTGGACGGTCAGTTTTCATGAGGAGGGGCATTTGCGTTCTCCAGCATTTGTTTCTTTAGACCAGCTTTCCAGAAGTGAAATATCTGGGTTAAAAGCACTTGATTCTGATTGCCAAATAGCTTTCCAGAACTGTTGTACCAGGGGATGCTTCTCCTTGCCTCGGAGGAGAGGGGGAACACCTTGGCCAACTTGGAGACGTTTTCATCATTTGCCGGCGGTGGGAGGTGCTGCTGTATTTTCAATAGTTTCTGTTTATGTTGCTTTAATTGCTATTGGGGGGGGGGGAGGTGTTTGAACCTTTGAGGGGAAAATGTTTACTTGTCACTTTCTCTCCTAATCCATGATCCATTTATTTTTTAATACCTAGGTGGGTTTGAAAACTTAAATTCTACCAAGTTTGTTTTCAGACATTTTGTTAACTGATGCCAGTGTTCTGGGTGTCTTTGCCAGAGGAGCAGAAGACGCTTACAGAGCTCAGAGCTAAGCTCTTACCTGCCTTGCTGTTGCTTCACACGTCCCTGACACAAGTGGCTGTGACACGTTCAGATAAGCCCTGAACTGCTAACCGCAAGGCTGGCGGTTCAAGCCCACCAGGTTAACTGTTCTTTGGCAACTCTATACAGGATCGCTATTAGTCGAAACTGACTCGATGGCCCTTAACAACAACAAAAAACAACACCAACCTTAGGAATGGGGGTTGAACCCACCTATTGGTGCTGCAGAAGTAAGCCCTGGCAATCTGATTCCATAATGATGACAGCCAAGAAAACTTTAAGGAGCGGTTCTATTCCGCAGCACTTGGGGCTGCCATGCGTCAGAATCAATGCAACAGCAACCAGTTTGGATCAGGTTTCGATTCCTTTATGCTTAGAAGGTCCTTTCTGCCTATAAAATATTTTTCCAGTTTTCTATTTCAATTTTAACTGTAAAAAAAAAAAAAGTTCATCCTGGACATCTGGGGTCTGTTTGTGTGAATAATTTGAAGAAGGTGTCCATTTTCCCCTAAATAACTAGTTGGAGCCCAGCAACTATGCCTTACAGAAACCTATGCCACATTATTATTGATTCGGGATCTGTTTCTGGGCACCCAGTGATATGTCTGCTCTTCCTTACACCGGTGTTATATTGTTTTAATCATTGTAGCTTTATAATGTTTTTTTCTTTTTAATTGTGGTGAAAATATACACAACAACAAAAAAATCCTCGAATCCAGCAATTTCCACATATATGTTTCAGTGATGTTGATTCCATTACATTCTTCATGTTGCGTAACCACGATCACTATCTCTTTCCAAATGATTCCGTTGCCATCTGCAGCTTTCTGTTTTGACCTCCAGGAAGGTAACTTCCACACACATTCCTGTTACTTGATGATTTCCCCCTGATCCTGTCAAGTGCCATGAAGTTTTATGTAAGAAGAACTAGTGAATAGGATTGAGGGTGGGTATCTTAAGGGTTATATCACAAAAGATAGGGGAAGGGAGGGAGGGAGGAGAGTGTTTTCATCTGAGCTCAGATCTACCCGAAAGCCTAGAAGTTGAGTCATGAGTGGACTCATTGGGTTCTACGGATGACAGGGAGCGGGGAGGGGAGCGTGTTGAGAGATGGGGCAGAGAAGGGACATAGAATACAGCTCTTTGTGGCAGTGGCAGTTCTTAGGAGGGGACCACAATTGTTATATCGTGGAAAGATCTTGAGAATGTTGGCAGGTCAAGGACAGAGAGAGGTGTTGGTGGGAAGAGAGAGCCCACTCCATGGGGTTGGAGTGTCATAGAAGAACAAAATGACTTGAGGTGGGGCTTGGGCATGTGTGAACAGGAAAGGTCAGGTGACTGGTAATAGAGAGCTGGCAGTCACTGATGGGAAGGGAGAAGAGGTCATGTGGGAGCTATTGTGTGAGTAGATGCGACATCATAAAGGAGAGTATATTCGTCTCCTTGTTTTTGAGACCAGAGAGGCTATTTAAGTTGCCTAAGGCCACAAAGCTAATTATAGAATGGGTTTGTGCCAAGTCTGAGACACGGATAAAAAAGCATGTGCTATGAAACCCGCAAGGAGATACCACTTCATACCCACTTCATTGTTGCTGCCACCAAGTCAACTTTGGCTCCCGGTGATCTGGTAGGCACGGGAATGAAACGTCATATGCACCAACTTCATCATCGGAATGTTCAAGACCATGGTTGCGGCCACTCCATATTTTGAGTGCCTTCTACACGGGACTTGTCTTCCGGCACTCCACTGGACAGTATGCTGGAGTGACCCATAGTGTTTTCCCTGGTTAATTTTTGCAAGTAGATTGCCTGACCTTTCGTCCTAGTGCATCATAGTCTGGGAGCTCTCCTGAAACCTGCTTGACCTATTAGGATGACTATGACCAGAGAAGCAGAAAATAGATGACAAGTGTTGGTGAAGATGTGACAGATTGGAACCTCCAGACATCGTTAGTGAGACAGTAAAGTGGTGTAGCTGCGGTGGAGAGGAATTTGGCAGTTTCTCAAAAAGTTAGATGTAGAATTACCATAGGACCTGAAATCAGAACTGAAAACGGTAACGAAGCAGATACGTGGACAGTCCTCCACAGGTGGAGACAACCCACGTGTGTGTGTCAGCGGCTGAATGGTCCATCCATACAATGGAGTGTTACTCAGCCGTAAAGTGCAAGTCCGGATGCAGCGCCACATGAGTGAACCCTGGCTGCTTGCTGCTGGGTGAAATAAACCAGACACAAAAGGACAACCGCTATGTAATCCCACTGATACGTCATATCTAGAATAGGCAAATGTATGAGATCAAAGTTGATTATTATTGCTTTACCAGGGAGGGTCCGGGTATAGGGACACCCAGGACCGATGCTTAAAGGGGGACGGAGCTGCCGTTTGGGGTGTTGAAAGCCTTTTGGAACTAGCAGCGATGGTAGTTTCACAACACTGTGGACGTAATTGGCGTCGCTGAAATGTACACTTGGAAATGGTTCAAATGGCAGATTGTTTGGCCGGTGATTTTGCCACCGTTTTTTGTTTTTTCAAGAACGTGCTCTGTCAGAGTGTACAGAAATGGGGGAGGTGCTCTGAACTGGGGAGCCAGGGGAAACAGGAAACTCTTTCTGAGTCCTGTACCACTTTCTCTCAGTTGAGTTTCTTCTTGGAAACGGGCTCTGCAGGCACACTTGGGGACTTTCCTCCGTGGATCGATTGCCGCTTCCGTTTTCGTCGAAATAAACAGGAGGGCGCTATCAGCTGTTGAGTCTTCGGCTGGCGACCAGCGTCCAGCCCTGGATGTTTTTGATGTTTTGAGCAGGCTTTATCTCTTGCTCCTGAGAACGGGGCTTGTTTTTCCAGGGTTGGGAGTTGCGTCATGGGAACGGGAATGGCGGGGGAGGAGCGTCCACATCAGCGCTGAGGCCGACACCTGCTGGGGCGGCCACATCAGCGCTCAGGCCGACACCTGCTGGGGTACCAGGCTCCTGACCTTGATCTCAGCTGTTTCCTGGGATTCTTCAGGTGTGGCTGGCCCCTGGGTCCCAGCAGCAGGTGTTAGTCAGGAAGTGATTGTCATTCCCCGACTGTTGAAGAAAACCCAGCCTGGAGGGTTTTAAATGTGCTTATGTTGCCCTTGTTGCCATAGTTGGAGAGGGCTTACAGCACCTGGAAGATCTCTGGCTGGTGCAAGTGGTTTGTGTCCGGCTGCTAACCGAAAGGTTGACTGAACCCACCTGGAGTCACCCAGCGGAAGAAAGACCTGGTGATCAGTTTCCGTAACGCTGATGGCCAGGAAGACACTGTGGAGCTTAGGTCAACTCTGTAACGGGCAGAGCTGCTGTGACTTGGAACATATTTGGACATTGAACTTCGAGGGGGATTTTTGAACCCTAAACGAACTGAAATGGACCTTTAGTGGCTACAGCTCTGTCTCTAGCCACAGCAATGTGCCTGTAAGAACTGTCTAGAAATTCCTCTGATATTGTTACTGTTACCCCGTGCATGACAGAACAGAATGCTACCCAGTCTGCTGCTGTCCTCATGACTGGTTATGAATTGAGAGCTGTGTGGTTTTCATTGGTTGATTATTTTGGAAATGGATCACTACACCATTCTTCCTAGTCTGTCTTTGTCTGGAAGCTCTGCTGAAAGGTGTTCAGTCTCCTAGCAGCACACCATCCACCATGGACAGCTGGGCAGTGGCTGGGCAGTGAGGTGCACTGGCCGGGAATCGAACCCAGATGAGAATTCTACTGTTCTCCTGACACCCTCTCAGAGGCTTCCTCAAGCCTCCATAGCAACTTCCTTCCTTCTCCTTGAATACTTGTCAGCTTCTGGAGAATCCGGGGACTGGCCAGCAATTGGGACGAAGGTATTGCATTGTTCAGAGGGCCTAGTTTAAGCATTCTCGACAGTGTCCACCTCCTTCTCCCACTGTCCCCAAAACAGTGATGTTCTAAC